GACGAATCCAAATTCAATGCGGTGAATCTAATCGAGATGATCACCACTGACCCACTTCCGTTTCCCTCCTATCCCTAGCACGGGGATTCACCTTCCCCCTCCCCTTTCAGCGGAGCCTTTAATCTCTTATATTGTCGAGCAATTCTGTATCGACATTAAATCTCGTCCAGGATTGAAATGGAACGACCTCGGATCGTTGTTCCGATAGGAAAGTTGTGAAATTGCATTTTTTTTTTTGCCGATCTAGCAATCCGTAAGTTACCTAGAAATACTTAAACAATACAGTTATCACGAAATAAGCAAAAATATAGCGACGAACAGATAGCCTATTTTATGTATTTATCGTGAATGTGAATATGTAAAACAAACACAGTAAAAATTTTTTGAAAGGTAAGTATAAATATTACTGTACTTTGGACCTCGCGAAACTTGTAATAATGGAACAAAATCTCCGACATACATTCCAAACAAGTAGATTAAACCATAAAAATCTGAATTCGCATAAAAACCCGCAATCTAGCCACTAACATTGAAAATTACTACGTTATACTCCATTAACATCCTACATGAATAACCATTACTTAAAAAAAACCAATAATTATAGAGCTCTAGCATACAAAATACAGTCTAATAATTAAAAAATTTAATCTTGCGATTAAACTTGAAAATTACAAGTATCTCATATGCAATTAACTTCCTACAACAACCAACTATTGTTCTAAAACAAACAAAGACCCTCGAGATACTGAAATTAGAAAATCTACCGTAATAACCTTTTACAATGTTCAGATACCGACCAATTGCCGATAATTTTCACGGGATAGTTTCTCCAGGGATTTCTCGCGAGCTGTTAGAACCTCTGGATAATGGAATCCGTGGTGAGAATTCTTTGGAAAATCGAGGGAAAAGAGAGATAGACACAGAGAGAGAGAGAGTGGTGAAATAACTGAAATATACGAGTTAATTACGCGGGCATCTTAGCGAGGATTACTTAATTTAATCGAAGTAACTTCGCGTAACCAGAGATAGCTGGGCGGGAAAGAGGCCGAGTAATTGGAAGCCCGTACCGAAATTAGGCCCCGCGAATTTCGTCTAATTAAAGGCCGTTAAGACACGGCGACGGCGACATCTCTTCGTTCGCGTATCGCGTTAGGTCTAATTCAGACATCGTCGTGTCCGCCGACGTCACCGGGAGTGATTCATGCCGTAGCAATTTAATATTAACCGCGAGTAGAACGCGAACGCTATTATCATCCGGGGACGAGTCAATATTACGCGCGGACATACTGGTAAAATTACCTACATTGACCCTTGTGTAGGCAACCAAAATATTCACGATTATTGAGCAATCGGAATACTCCTATTCGGATTAGATAAACATAGATAATTTTACTTTCATACTTCTCCGAAACTCTTAGCTTTCCCTTCCTATAATTATATACAAAATTAGGAAAGGCAATTTAGAAATGGGTACCCGGTTGCTTAGACAAGGGTTAACCCTTGTGTGAGTAGCCAAAATATTCACGATTATTGAGCAATCGGAATACTCTTATTACGACGGATTAGATAAACAGATAATTTTACTTTGATACTTTGCTGAAACTCTTAGTTTTTTCTTCCTTTAATTACATACAAATTAGGAAAGGCAATTTAGATATAGGTACCTGAGTACCCGGTTGCTTAGACAAGGGTTAACCCTTGTGTGGGTAGCCAAAATATTCACGATTATTGAGCAATCGGAATACTCCTATTCGGATTGGATAAACATAGATAATTTTACTTTCATACTTCTCCGAAACTCTTAGCTTTCCCTTCCTATAATTACATACAAATTAGGAAAGGTAATTTAGAAATAGGTATCTGAGTACCCGGTTGCTTAGACAAGGGTTAACCCTTGTGTGGGTAGCCAAAATATTCACGATTATTGAGCAATCGGAATACTCCTATTCGGATTAGATAAACATAGATAATTTTACTTTCATACTTCTCCGAAACTCTTAGCTTTCCCTTCCTATAATTATATACAAAATTAGGAAAGGCAATTTAGAAATGAGTACCCGGTTGCTTAGACAAGGGTTAACCCTTGTGTGGGTAGCCAAAATATTCACGATTATTGAGCAATCGGAATACTCCTATTCGGATTAGATAAACATAGATAATTTTACTTTCATACTTCTCCAAAACTCTTAGTTTTCCCTTCCTATAATTACATACAAATTAGGAAAGGTAATTTAGATATAGGTACCTGAGTACCCGGTTGCTTAGACAAGGGGAAACCCTTGTGTGAGTAGCCAAAATATTCACGATTATTGAGCAATCGGAATACTCCTATTACGACGGATTAGATAAACATAGATAATTTTACTTTCATACTTCTCCAAAACTCTTAGTTTTCCCTTCCTATAATTACATACAAATTAGGAAAGGTAATTTAGATATAGGTACCTGAGTACCCGGTTGCTTAGACAAGGGTTAACCCTTGTGTGGGTAGCCAAAATATTCACGATTATTGAGCAATCGGAATACTCCTATTACGACGGATTAGATAAACATAGATAATTTTACTTTGATACTTTGCTGAAACTCTTAGTTTTTCCTTCCTTTAATTAGATACAAAATTTTGAAAGGAAATTTAGAAATGCGTATCCGGTTGCCTAGTTTTTTTGTAAGGGGTATAGAAGATTATAAAAATTATACATCTTGGTTTTTTTTTAAATCTCTTAAGACATTGTACTAAAACTATCATGTATTGGATCCTGCATAAAACTTTTGGCCAAGGTATATAATACTAAGAGCCCACATAAACTGATGCACTTAGTGGAGTATTAATTTTACAGCGACGAAAAGTGGGAGTGTTGTATTCTTAAAGAATAAGCATAAACAGCAGTGAATTTAAAATATCGTTCGAACCCTTTGGTCGACGAATATGGCATATGATGTTAAAAAACAATGGAATATATTATTAAAGTATAAATTATTGGTATTCGATTTTCTTAATAATAAACACGATTTAAATTAAAAATAAAAACACTATTATCATCAATGTTGAGTAGTAAGGAATTTATGTTGAATTGTGAAATTACTTAACCCTTATTAGTTGAGATGGAAATCTTATTAAGTACATATTGAATAAAAATACAATATTCTAGAAATCCTTCTCACCAGTTAACAGCTAATATATCGTGTGATATAAATTTCCTGAACTGGAGTTAAACGACGAATTAATTTTATCAGGGAGAAAAGTTGAGCGAGGACCAACCTGAGAATTCTCAGCGGAGTTCGCATGCGCTCTGTAATCCGACGATTTGTATTTTGTGGTCACGCGGCGACTGTGACTCATTCGCCATGCCAGCGGAGCACGTGCACTAATGGACAACAAAATATACTCGAGAAAATAAAGAACGGTAATCACGCATATTAAGCGAGCTTCGACGAGAATACCTCCAACTTCTAAAACGGTTAAGCAATGCTCCTTTTCTTTATCTTGTTATTCGACTATAAATTCCCTATACTTAAGATCTAATATACCTCGATGAATGTTTATACATTGAAATGTTTATAACTTTAAATGTCTTTCATTTAAAAGTTTGAAAACTTTCTATTCGTTATATTGAAATTTTTGTTTGTGATCTTAGGTGCCATTTCTGAAGTTATAGAATGTTAAGTTAATAATTTTTAATTTGCTACTTGCGTTGTAAGGTGAGTAGAATACAATAATTTTCTAAGAAATCGTATTTTTTGGTGTTTCCTGGCTGACCAAGCAGTGACGTAAAATAACGTCAATTTAAAAACGGAAGAACATTTTGTAAACTTATATAGAAAAGAGTATTAGTAATGCTATTATGGAAGACGTAAACAAATTGTCGTCTGGTAAACAGATGAGTGGAACGGGAGTATTGATCAACAACGTCTGTATCTACTTAAGGTTCATAAGCTCTTTAGCAGGGATACACAGGTGTTAGTAAAATTCATTTAAGCTCTTACGTAACATCTCTTTATGGTTGTATGTATAAAGAATCTTGAAAATCATTACTACAACCTATGTACCTAAGGATCATATTGTCGAAAAAATTTGTAGTTTGACAGTACCGTTTTTGGTATGGAATTATCAAAGAAAATTGGAATTGAAGACGATTCCAAGAATGTGTTGACAATGATGGTGGAGACTCTTTGAATAGAAAATACATTTAACATGATATACAGGGAGTCCATAATCCCGTATCTGCTTTATAGAAATCGTTGACTGAAGAACAAAACCCAAAGGGTATAGGAAAAGGATATTTTAATGAACAACTCGAATAATTTCTTCCAGTAATTCCACCACAAAAAATTAGACTTTTTTCCTTAAAGACTTTATGAAATCTCAGGTGTATTATCGAAAAATCGGGAATTTGCAAATATTGTAAAGCAGTGGCACAGATTACTCCACGGATGTTAGAAAATGTTTGCTGTAAAATAGCTGACCGATGCAGAGCTATAGATGATGCTCATATGGAATCCAATTACTTAAGTTTCTGTGCCTGTCTATTAGTAGAACAAATCCTCTGAACGGTACATTAAAGCATTCCTTGAACAACATCCCCATGGAGTTTCCATCTTTCTTCAACAATTACTCCAAAATACTTAGGGATATCGTGGAAACCCAGTACAGTAAATCCTCGATGAGTGTTGGAAAGCTCCTCGGCACAGAACATTAAATATTTCATAAACTAATGGCCGCATACTGTTGAAATAAATACCATTGACTTCAGAATCTCAAACTCTATCACTGAGCTAAACCTCATAAAAACCTCAACATTACAGCTGGGGACCTCTGCTTGTCAGTGCCGAGGAGTCTTCGAACACTCACCGATCATTTACTGTACTGCGTTCACACTTCCCTTTTCCCTAAAAAAGAGTTACTTCCATATAAACATTAACATTTCTTCTGAAACATCCTGTATTCGCTCGAGGACAGAATAACTGGTCCCGATCGTTTGCAACAAACCAATCTTACTCACCTTTCGTGATCGTGACCGTAAGACGGATTGATTCTCCTCGCGTACAAGGAAGCGCCGCCCTCGGACATGTAACCGTCGCAGAGGTCGGATAGCGTTCTGCTACCGACGTTCATCCCGCCTCGAAGAACTTCCCCGTCGCTGAGGTAACCGGAGGCGACGTCGATGTCCGCGTAATCGTGACCGACATGGTGATGAGAGGACGAATGAAGGATCGTGTACTGCCTCGTGGTGGTCCTGTTCGGCAAGGTCTGAAGGGCCCTAGCGCCGGGCGTGTAACCGCGGAGCAACGGCTGCATCGGTTTCACTGTCATTTCAGCCTCGTCGTCCGCCATCGAGCCACCGCCACCGCCGACGGAAGTCGAACTTTCGGACAGGACCTGCAAAGTGATGTGAATTATGTAGCGACCAGAGATGTTAGGATTTGTCACGTGTTACGATTATATCCAGTTACTGTCGCCACCGTGTGGTTTGCTGAACTATTTCGCTTGCCTATTTAAAACAAAACAGATTTAGTAACTTTCCTTGACACTTTCCTGAGCAGAAAGGTCTGCTCTATCGCGTCCTATGGTTAGATTGTCTCATAGACCATTAGTTTTTGAAATAAATTAAAGAATATCAGCAAAAAGTCGTGCGTTTTCGGTGTCCTTTTCACTGTTAACTTATGTAGGGTGTGAGATGCGTGTGTTTAGTTTTAGATCGAGCGAGTGCGGTGCGAATGAAGAGTGTTTATACCGTGTGACAGTTTCTTCGAATGAGAGTGCGTGCTAGAGAAGATGGAATGAAAGGAACTGCGTCGAACCTCGCGATCGAAAATCGACACGAGGCGAGAATGTGTGAATGCGTGTGTGAACCTATGACCGAGTGTGACCATGTATGAAAGGGGATATAAGAGAGAAGTCAGTCAGAGCGAGTGTGTCTTAAGAGCTAGACTGTTGCAAGCGTGTCCTAACGAATTCTTTATACACATTTTAGAATAAACCTTTTATTTCTACCAAATACAACCACCACTTAATATTATTCCCACACTTATTCTCAAAGATAACGTACCTTCAACATGTAGCAACCCATGCTATGCTTAGAAGCCCCCATCCCGTATCCATATATACAGATCAGTGTCTAAACCCAACAGTCGTTCAATCCCCTCCGCGTTCTCCACGAAGAAAGGTGCGTACACACAGTGTCATCTGGTTCCAAATTACTAACCTTCTCCATTTGCTCGAAGGTCGTGTCGATCTTTCGATTCGGTATGGTCTTGATCTCGCTGCCGCTCTCGCTGCTCGGCCTATAAATAACGCTGCTGTCGCTGGAATTGCTCTGGCCGGTGCTGTTCGAATTGCTGTGAGAGCTTTCGGACATCAGGTCCGAGATGCTCGGCATCGGTGACACCATTGCGACCGTGCTGGGGTCCAGCTTCCGATGCATAACGTCCGCCTTCAGTTTCGTGGGCGTGGGCGCTCCAGATATGCTGTTTTCCTTCGGTGGTTTCGAGGTGCCTTTCACCAAGGCCGTGGGCTTCGGAATGCTGGATCCAGGGCTGATCCCCGGCGCGGTCAACGGGTTGGTGCTCTGCAGTGGGCTATTGATCCCCGAATGTTGTTTGCTCGGGCCGAAGTTCAATCCGTTTGGGACTGGGCTTTGACACGATACATTATTACCGGTGTTACAGAACGTCGTCGAGCCTTCTTGTATGGTGCTCATCTTGCCATCAGTTGGAGCTTCTGGACTGTTCCTAGGACACGTAGCCATCGTTCGTTTATCATTGGTGTTCTCCACTTCTTGGATCTCGTTTGGGATCCTAGCTCTCATGGACGAGCTGATATTCTGTTGTTTGGTCGGACTGCCTACAGGTTCTAACCCTCTGTTCGCCTGGATATTATCGACGATAGTCTTGTGCCTGTCCATGGACAGCTTCTCCTCCAACAGGTTCGCTCGGTTCATCGACAACGTGTGATCCATGGAAGTATGCTCGCGACAGACGTCTTCGTGATCAGGCTGCTTGATCATACCATTGGTGTTGCTTAATAGCACCTTCTGCGCTAGGAGATCCTTGTTCAGCCCGTTTGGAGGTACCTTTATACTCTGCAGGTGAATCTTCGTGTCGCTTATCTTCCCAGGAAGCTCCATCTTGGGTCTACACTGTTGGTTCGATTCGTTCTTCAGGTTACCGATGTTCTTCGCCTCCTGCGCGCTGATCTGCTTGGGAAGCGGTAGCACCGACGGATTCGACTTCTGCAGCTGACCGCCAGGTTGCTTCAGTAGATCGTGTAGATTCGAGGATTTCTTGTCAGCGGCGAGTTTGCTACCCACGCCGCCGAGTTTACTGGTCGGTTTAACATCTTCCACGGGTGGATTGTAGCAGACCAGCTTGTCCGCCGCTGCCTTTGTCCTAGCGATTTTACTCTGCGCTTTGCTCTGCTCCTTTCTCACGGTCTTCGGGCTGGCCTGCTTCGCCGCCTTGCCAGATTGCAATTTCGACTTCAAAGCACGGCTTTTCGGAGATTCCAGTTGCACTTTGCTCTGGTCGCAGAGGGACGTCGAGCTGTCCGAGTGCTCGGATCTGGCCGAGGAGAAGCCGGACGAGCTCGAGGTCCGCTTCGACACGCCCGACGAAGCCTTGCCGCGGTCCTGATTCTTCTCTTTGTTGTTGAAGAGCTTGAATTTGTCCAGGACAGAGTTCTTGTTCTGTTGGACCGGCGCTCCTGGATTCGTGTACGGTGACGACTGCGTGGTCCTTGCGCCGCTGGATTTTCCGACGGTCGACGCTCGAGGGCTGAAACAAGTTTAAAGATGTGAGTTACTTTATGTTTTATTAGGGTCCATTTTGTTTCGTGAAGAATTGCTCCAGAAATTTTAATATTGACAACATATCGACAATTAGGTACAAGCTTAAAGCATGTCATTTTTGCAGAGAATGAGAAGAAACTGATTGATTATGTATTATAACTAGACTGCGGATTTTTATGCAAAATAATATTTTCTACAGCAATTCATACAGAGAAGGGCAAATGTAGGAATATCTTTCTTTTGAATAAAGTAGAAAACTTATTGGATCTGATGAAAGTTGTATCCTTTACTGTATTTTACAGACCCCTGTAGACTATAAATGCATAAAATCCGGAGTTTAATTATAACTTATGACATTTTTAATAAAATAGTGAGGCTATCTGGCTATATAATCTAATGCTTGGAGACATGTAATTTCGTATGGAGAACCGCTGTCTAATTATAGAATTTTAAACGAGATCATTACACCGTTTAAGATATAATAAAAGGTAAGTTACTGTTATTTCCATTACACCCGTTAATATGGTTTATTGCACCTCGTGGTACAGTAAGGAAACACGGATAGAGTACACACTGTCCGGACCGAGACGTCCAAATGGAATCGAGTATGGGAGCGAACGTGTTAAATGAATATTGTGTCTTCAAAGGAAAACGGTTTACCTCGGCGTAGTGGCTGTTGGCTGTCTGTTTGCTGAATTCGGACCTCTTGGTTGCGGAATAAAGGACAGACCACCTTGTACCGGCTGCTGTTGGCTTGGACTCGTGCTCCTTGAACTACTGGCGCTTCCAATACCGCCGTTTCCGTGTTTCAGACCTGGAACCGAGAGAAAAATGATGCTCTAATCTTTAATTGTTACACGAATCTTACAAGAAAGTGTAAGTCTACTTGAATCAGTTTAAAAGCAAAAATAGAAAGTAATATGATATACACTGTCGTTTGTAAGTATTGGGACACTTATCGAATATGTACAGTAAAAATTACAGGGCGTTACAAAATTGCTGAATGTTTGAAAGAAACATTTTTTAAGGCAAGAGTTCTCAACCTGGGATCATATGACCCTCAGAAGGCTCCTGGACATTCCTGGTTTCTAATTATTGTATTTTGTATAAATTATAACGATTATGATAGAACATGTTCTGTGTACAAACAAAATATTTAAATAGCCACTTTTCTACCGGTAGGACAGGGGGCCACAGTTGGAAAAAGGTTGAGAAACACTGGTTCAGGGGATATTAAAGCTCGATAGACAACGCTTATGCTAGTATGAAGTAACAGACGTGATCTGAAATATATAATTTTTTACGAAATATCATGTTTTCTTCATACAGATCAGTTGTCCTAATACTGTAGACTCTTCATATATTGCCACTCGATATATTACCGCGTGAGACATAAATTTTTTTATACAAATTCGTTGGTTCTGGGGCCTGAGTTACAATTTTAACATGGAGGGGGCTCTCGATATATTGCCACTTCCGAGAATTTTCCTTTCCTACAGCTTCAACTGTAACAATATATCAAGAGTCCACTATAGGTACTTACGAGCGACATTATAACGCAGTTACAGATGTCAGAAGAGTTTTTCTTCGCAGTTATTATCACACAAAATGTTATTACTTTGTTAGTGATCTTTCTTTCCCACCCCAAATTATTGCATTCTCTTCCCAACATTTCCTACAAAATTTTCTAAAATTTCTAAACAAACTGTAGCATCGCTAAGTTTCACCACATGGCATAAACAGAAAAGCAATGAAAATCACGCCGTCACTCAACGCTTTAATACACTTCTACATCCTTGCCACGATCACACGATAAACGGTAATATTTCTCATAACGTAAGATCACCGCTGTGTATCGTCGATAGGAAACGGCTTTATTTCGCCCTGCTCGTAAAACGATCGTTACGAGACACTGGTTTGCGCAATTTGATTAAACGACCGTACCCCGATAAACGCTCCGCGGATATTCCCAGTCGTTTCCTATTACGGCTGTCATTGGCCGCGACTCAATAAAACGATGATCGGCCGGCTCATTAAGCATACACAGTCGTAATATTGTGCCCACCGTCCCCCTCGAATCGCGGCCTCGGTTGTCTCTTCGGGCAAGTATGTGTAAAGCTGCGTCTTCACCAGAGATGGGCAAATTCGTTATCTAGATAAAAAATTTCGAATAACGAATAAAAGATAAAAAAAAAAGTAGTTCGCCATTTTTAATAGAATAAGCGTGAAAATTTCAATTTTTACAATAACAGAATATTTCTTCTCGAATGAGTAGACACTTGGCAAACAATTATTTTATTTCGTTAACTGTTCCAAGGTCAGGATGACGATCCCATATA